TATATTCCGTACAATAGCTTATAATATTATAATCTTATATTGTATATTGACTATATTTCTATAATACATATAAATACACACAATTAATTAAAAACAAACAAACAAGATTGTAAAACATGACATATTTACAACAATATAAAAAAAAACGATCAATCTAAACATTGGCTTCTCTTTCTATCTCAGTGTTATTGCCCCTCACCAATGTCAATAAATTACCAAATTTCCTGTCCCACACTATCGCCAGCTGATTTTCGGTAGTTATAACGCCGGTAACCCAACACGTTAAATTTTAACCTCCATCGTCGGGTTTTATGCTCGTTCAAAACTGATTCTGTAATCGGAAGTTGTGGGGTTGTCGTCATGAGCTTCGAATWCTGTAGTCTTATTGTGGATCCAGAGCACTCAGAAGCACGTGCACACCTRCAGTARTCTTTTGGGCTGGACGAGTTCAACATTTCGRTGGATATCAAGACAGAACTTGTAGTACTATACCTATTTATTATAATAATTATATTATTTTTAAATTGGGTGCAACATTATTATTTATCATTCGCCATTTTCTTTTCAAATACCAAATCAAACAAACCAATACTTTTGACTATAATAAATACGAAAAAAAATATTGTTCATTGTGTTAAGTAGTTTAAAATCACGTTGTGAATATCATTTTGCTTTATCCGTAACGTTTTATATATGAGACTAGGCCCCAGTGGAACTTGAAAGTCTATATTCAGSGAGACGTTCTTGCAATTAGTAAGTCCAACAGTCATGTCTACAAAACTATTACGCAATGTACCTATACCCAACATGTTCGTGATTTAGCTACTTGTATTTGTCTTCGCGCTTACGTACCTTCCTGCATCGCGTTTATTTAAATAGTTTATAATTAATTAGCCGAAAAAAAATGTGAACTCACGCGACATCATGTGTACACGCGATACGCATATCATTTGAATATACCATTGTACTTACATCAGCTTATTATTATATAATTAAAGGTACATATATACCATTTATTTACTGCGTGCGTATCGGTCACCCGCCGACGACGACACAACGACTACTACTATTACTTCCGACCGGAAGAAATATTACGGACTCTCATTCGGCGGTGGCGTCGGCCATTTCCCGTTTTATATGCGATGTAGGTCCGGGCCGGAATCGAAAAATACTATCAATTCGTTTTCATATCAATCACTGGCACAGCACAATAACATTAATTACAATTATTACTGTCCACGTGACGTGCGCAATGACGGTTTCCGACAACGCGTATAAAACCGAAAGACTAGCAGTATGACGATATTGTTATCGCAACACATCACCATCGTAACTATGTCATTATTGCTGAACAGCAAGGGAAGCTGCCGTCACAGTACCACGGTTGTGGTACTTTCGGTAGCCGTTCTGCTGACCGTCGGACAAGTTCAAGTGAGTATCCGAAATATAAGATCGTAATTATTAATTTCWTACATTATGCATCTCATGACAATAAGTAATCTTCTATAATTTCACATTCATAGGCAAAAATAGTKTTCGCAATTTTAGGAGGAGTCTAAAGCTCAAATTCGTAACGGTCTCTTATGCGAGTTRTGAAGCTTTATTTGGCACCCCATATAAAAATGTTAATTTTTTTTTGTGGTATGGAACAACAGCTCAAGGAAAAGGGCTCCTACCGCCAACTATTTGCACCTATATATAAGTATATGATCATATTTTATTAAAATATGATAATTCTTCTATAACATATAGTCGTCGAAGGAAACAACAGACCAATTTCGATAAATGTATTGATTAGTATGCCGTATTCGGTACCTATACAAACTTACTGATACATTGTGTACATATTTTAAATAATTCACCATGGAACAATAGATAATTATTTAAAAAAAATAATTTTTCATGTTTAATCTACCAACATTTTTTAATATAACATTTCAAAATGAGTGTGAAAATATTTTCAATAGGTACATAAAACATGATATATATATAATATATATTATACCATAAAGTTATTGAATATAATTTATAAATACATGTTATCTGACATACTTATACAATTCTTTGAAATATTCAAAATTGTATTTTCCACATTTAAAAGTCAATGTTATTATCTAATATAATATATGAATATCTATACATAGATTAACAGATACATAAATAAGATTTATACTCCCTCCCCCCAAGAGATCCTATTTTCCAATACTTCGTGAGTATATGAGATGTATTTTATTTCATCACATGATGATATAATATTAATATATCTAATATAATAATATTACGTGGGCTAAGACTTAAGAGTAAAAATATTCTGTTTTTTTCTTTCAAAATTGACTTTTTCAAATATTTTATAYGTTTTCAATGGCACATTTATTATTATAACTTTATAACGATAACACGGAGCCCTGCATAGGCTATTTAGGTACATCACTGTCGCGAGTCCATTTTTTCCAAAATATCACAATATTCAATAATAAGATTATAAATATTGTTCTTAGTTTTTTCGGTAAATCTATAAATTTATATATAAAACTYTAATATTGAATCCCTTTTGGTTGTGGTTCATTAATTTTTTTATCTTTATATTCATTATTGCATATAATGATATTGACAAAATATATTYTGTAATGTTTAAAAACGTAATATGTAATTATAATATAATAATAATATTATTACTTGATCCTATTCGGGACAATGAAGAACTATGAGAGTTAACGTTTTTCATTATTTCTTCGCATAGACCATATTGGTATATTATATAAAATTATATAGATAAAGGTATTACGAGTACCTATATCCGTGTAAAATGTGCTCACGACGCTTTATAATAATATATATTATGCATAATAATACAATATTATGTCGAGTGTTGACGTGGGATATTCTTTTTTCGCTTCGTCATTTGACCCTTATATTTTTTACCAATCGACATTTTTCACGACAAATAACAAGCGTGTTATGTAAATCKTTCCACGTCCCATGGCACTATACCTATATTCATATCTATACATCGTGACAGCAATATTGTTTCCGTATTATTTTTTCATTATAAATGCTTTAGTTCGAACGTGTTGAAAATTACCTTCCACGCACCTCTTACCAACCCTGTACAAAATATATACGACCAGTCTAAAGCAAGTTGTTGCAAAATACAAGTTTTTTGAATTGATGCGCCTATTTTTGTATGTAATTTAATCAAAACACTACTCAGTTGTAACTCKTCAGTTTTAAATTTTACGGAAAATTGAAATTTTTGTTGTAAAAAAAAATACAAAAACAAGCAGTTACCTTTTYTTATTTGACGTGCTAGATGCCCTAGTAAAATTAGTTTACATTTTTACGCATTCGATTCAACCCCTAAGACGTTAGAAAKKTATTATGAATTTTGTGCCTATAGCTTTAATATATAATATATAATATATATAAGTATCAGTAGTGGAGCCAAGGGGAGGTACGTCAGTGGGGTAAGTATTAGATACCYCCCCTTGAGTGGCTTGAGTTTATGATACAAAATCGTATTAAATGTATTGATGAACTGTTGTTTTTCGTGTTGAATAAATTATTACCCCCCTYGATTAATTTTGAATCAGCCTCTGATGGGCATGTTCGCATTTGATACATCCGTGGTATTGACACTATTCATCAAGTCCGCGATTGCAGTCGCGTTGAAAACCAATCATAATAAATAATAATAATATTATTCCACAATAATGTCGCGTAGAACCTTAAGTGCAGGACGGCAGACCACTCGAGACGCCACGGGGAGTTTATCGACATAGCTGAACAATGCAACAACACGACTTCGGGCGACCGGTCGGCGTCTGCGATGGACGGCGATTATTCTACTTACGCGTCAGGCGGCAGCGGCGACAACGATGGTCGGTGGAACGGAGACGGCCGGCGGAACAACAACAATCGCGAGTTCAGCGTTAACCGACAGGACTTTGGCGGCAACCGTGGTAGCGGTGGTGGCAGTTACGACCGCGACCAGTGCGGCGAAGCCCGACCGCAACAATATTCGGTGAGTATTTCATATTAATTACTCTTTTTATTATTATTACAATGTGACATTTAAAAAGACGTCTTACTGCGCGTATGTTAGTTGTATGAACGCTATTTTCACGCGTCTGACAAATTAATGTAACGGAACGTTTTCATTTAAATTATTTCTCAGCCGATTACTCGGCGTAGTGCAGGTCAGTATAAAAATACGAATCGAATTCGAGTCTTTTTTACGTGTGWACCAATAATATATGGAGCTACGACGTGCACACAATATGTAATTTGCGGTTTAATATTCCAAAATAAAATTTTTAAAACTCGTTTTTCCTACAACAGTCCAAAAATGTTTATACATTATACGTCCCTAAATCTTTAAAATGCTACCTAACTTAAATATTTTAGGTCACAGAAATGTTATAATATGTTTTGCCCAAAAGCAGATTTTTATGGAAAGTTTTTATGACTCAACTAAAAACTATATATGTGGCATATATCTATTGAACTTTGTATGACGTATATGTTATAATAAATTTATGATGGGTTTGGAATATATTGTTTTTCTATTTTTTTATTTATGCTTGTAATAACATAATATAGGAAGGTGCACTTGGTATAGTATTTCAGAAGACAACGATAATCCAGGAAAGTTGCGCAGTTACGTCGTGGAACGGAAATTCGACACTTCGGCATTATAATATACTAATATACACCTATATATTATAACATATTTATTACAATATTATTGCTCTATCTATATGCATCGCTTATTCGCATCATTTACATACTTTCGACTCGAAATCTAAAATATATCATATCGTGTAATTTATTTAAAAATATTTTTGTTGTTTCATTTTTCCCGGGTATTGTAGGGAAATACGGGCAGCCGTTCAAAGAACCACCGACAAGGGAGTTATCCGAGTGTCGATTATGACTCGGGACAATCCAATTCCAACCATAACAGACAGCCACTGCCTATGAGACGATATCGCAGGGAYGACAGCAATGATAAGAACAAACATCAGAAGGCAGTGGTGACAGGCAACAATAACAGACTTTTGGGGAACAATCGTTTCAGAAACGTGACGAAAACCGGAGGAAACCAACAGGGTAAAGGGACGTACCTCGACAAAATGGACGCCGTAAGAGTGTACCTATACCATAATAATAATATCATCAATACRTCAGCTGAATCTTTGTACCCTAGGTAGAAAAGGGGGTGTGGTATATTTTATAGACTCAAAGTATTATAGTCGAAGTAATCGATAAGGGTTTTAAATCAGACGCGTCTCTAAATAATAAAATATATTGTTCTTGAACGTCACGCATTCGACCAACTACGTTTTAATGAAATATCATAACCGTAGTAGATATTAATAATAATGGCAGATATATTGTACCTTCAACATATAATTTGTCGATKGCGACCCCAATTCAAAATACCATATTATTATTATTCATYATCGATAYGTAATAATCCATATTTTCTCAAAAGATAACGCRTAGGTAYTACAATTCAATGACTGATTCTAATCGTGCGTATGCATTTTGGACATTTTGTAAACACCGAGAATATCTTTAATCGTTTTTTTGCTTGCTAAAAACTTAACAATATGTTTCACTGTGACATTATTTATTARACAAATTATTTTTGTTTTAAACACTTGCAACTGCTTTAACGAATCGATTTGAACTTTTCGTATGGATACATTATTTATTTTTTGTATTCTTCAAGATGATATTGGGACCCACTGAATATGTTCGTGATCATTACATATTTACATGTTACATTTAT